CACGCCTTGAGAACGTGGTAATCCTCCCAAGTGGCTGCTAAGGCGGGCATGGTTGTCCATTTCACCAGAATCTGCTGGTGTGCCGCGTTACCCTTCTTCACCAGACGACGATCCAAAATTTCTTCTGGTGCGAGGCCAGGAACAGATAGTTCCAATGGCCCTGGCAGTGTAGCAAAAACGGGAGTGTGGTCAGGTATGTGCTCTGCCCCTGGGTAGCTCCAACTTGTATGCAGCTTGACCAATCTTCGACAGGATCTTAAATGTCCCAAAGAACTTCATAGCCAGCTTAGGACAGGGACGATTTACCACTGACTGCAGGCACAAATATACCATTTCCCCTTGTATTTGCACTGCGCCCTGGCCAAATGCTCCTTTAAAACTGCTGTGTGTTGAGTATGGGATGACAGCCAAGCCTGAACATCAGCATTCAGCGAAACTGTCTGACGATGCAACTTGTCCACATTAGGGTCATGTCCATATAATGCTTTGTAAGGAGTACAGCCCAGAGAAGAATGGTACGTGGTATTATACCAAAGTTCTGCCTGAGGTAACCAGGAGGCCCACTTAGCTGGTGAATCGGGTACTGCACAACGCAAATACATCTTCAGACATTGATTTACTCTCTCAGTTTGTCCATCCGTTTGAGGATGATAAGTTGTGCTCATTTGCAGTTCAGTGCCCCATACTCTGAACAGTTCCTTCCAAAAAGCACTGGTGAAAATCTTGTCACAATCAGATACGATGAACTGAAGCAGACCATGCAGTTTGACTATGTTATTCAGAAAAACTTTAGCCACTGAAGCTGCAGTGAACAGGTGTTTCAGACGCAAGAAATGAGTGACTTCAGTAAAAACGATTCACCACTACTAAAATAGCATTAAATCCTTCTGATTTAGGCAAGAACTCAATGAAATCCATACTTGTAGCTTGCCAAGGACCATCAGGTATAGAAAGTGGTTGTAACTGACCTGGCACTTTGCATAATTCATGCTTTGCTTGTTGACAAATGCTACACTGCTTCACAAAGTTTTCCACATCTTTCTTCAGACCAGACCAGCTTGAACAGTTGTTT